ATCTAAGCAATCATCCAATGTGGATGGTCCTCAATCTATATCAAATCTACGAAAGAACTGCATTAGTGAAAATATTGAAAAAATTTTATCAAATTTATTGTGTACCTTTTTCCTATAGAGCATGACCTTCTCAGTATTTTGTCAATATCCGTCTCAACTTTTGATGCATTGACTTGGACTTTTTTCCAAAAGATAGCTTGTGAAATTTTCTACAAAATCCAATATGAACAGCTGTCCAAATGAATAACTTAGGATGGCTTGAAACCTGTTCCTTCATGAAAGAAGATATCATTGGCTTTGTAGAAAAAAACAGCGTTACCCAGTGAAAAGTTTTAAAGATTTAATCAGAATTATTTTGCACCAAAATCAAAATGGAAATCGATTGAAATCTTCGATTATAATCGACTATGATTGAATCAAAATTTAAAAAACATGCTTGAGGAAATATTGAATTTTGTATGACTGTCTGTCGGACTCTACATTGCCAAGGATTTGTGGTAGTATTCCTTTGTTACAGTTGAAGAAGAATTCTACGGGATACTCGAGTTAGATAAACTACTAACTGCCGAAAGTTTTCTTTGTCTTCAGTGGCAAAGTTTAGATGCCTAAGAAACAATTTCAGCAAAGTGAGAAAAGCCACGGTGAAATTCCTGTTTTCTGTTAAGATTACTATATCACAATTATTCTGTTTTTCACCAAAATAGATCGAAAACTGCTCTTTCGAGAATCAAAATTAAACTAACAATAAATGTTGACATATTTCTTTTATTCGTCGTCTTTTGACATAAGTTGTGAATTTCTTCTTAACCATACGAACTTTATTCAATTCAAAATAGTAATTAAAAATAAGAAGCACTAATTGTATTGAATGGAATGAAAGAAATTCGCCCTCGCGTTTTTACTCTTAACATCTTGATGGAGATCTTATAAAGATTTTTTAGCCTGTTTTAAATTCAAAACGTTCAGTGATCTATGCAAAGTAGCTAGTATGATAATTGAGTAACATTAGAAATGAAATATATGTTGGAGTTTATTTAAAACATCTGCAATACTTCTGCTTGTTTTATTATCTAAAAATTAGCACTTCTATCAATGTTGTTAATATAGTAGTACCTTTTATTAGATAATATTCAATGAAATTCTTGTTCCCTAACTGTAATGATCGTCGGAACAGACAAGGAAGTCGGAAGTGCAACAATCTCTTCCGCAGATGCCATAAATTAGAGTTTTTGTTATTATAATCAGTGAAAAGTTTTCAAAACAAACACATAATTGGAGTTTACTAACCTATTCCCGACAACGCACAATTAAGTAATATTTTTCTCGAGCGAGCTATAAGGTAAAATCAAAAATTTATCATTTCAAGTAGCAACTATAAAATTATATATAACCTAAAACATCTCTAATCTTAACCCTTGGAGACGTTTTACAATGTTTTGTACATCACTAGAGCTTCGCTATTGAACACTCGTTACGAGTGTAGTCACTTGGAACAGCAAAATTCTTAAGAAATATCATAACATATACTCGACGATGCTTTTGTTTTTTTTTCGGAAAGAAAGACTACCAGATAAGACAATTTTCAATCAGCTCGTCGAAGATTCCTTGTCATGAAATAGAGTCAGTTTTGATAGACTTAAAATTGATTTTTGGAAAATTTCAATTGGTTATGCTTTCTAAAAAAACAGGGTTTTGAGTAATAGTTGTTGTTATGAATGTCATTGCCGTTTGAAGTATAGAGAAACTTTGTTGGATTTGTTATGAAATTAGTTTTCTCTTTTTTTTAACACTGAAAGGTAGAATCAGATTCTTTTCATTCTGTAAAATGTTTTTAAAGCTAAAGAAAAAGAAAATTGTTGAAATATAAGAGTGAAAAACAATAAAATTTATTTTGTTTGAAAAAAGTGGTTGTGTCTCTTAGTTCTGATAAGTTTGGAGCACTTGCACTCATGTGTCCTCCTATTACCCACTGTTTTTCATAGTTACATCTCTGGAATGTAGTCATCGTCTTTTTTAACGTGCTTTTCCTGTTCCATAATATTTATAAAAACGCGTTGCCGACGTAGACAAATACACCGAACAAACAACTAGAAACGTGTTGTTATTTTAATCATGCTCTACCTCAAGCATTTTTTTACACTTTCTTCTTTTCAAATTTGAAAGGTTGGATCAGTATTGGTTCACTTAAAAAATATTTGATTTTTTGCAAAACAACACTAAAATTAGTGAGAAGCAGGAATAAGTCTCTTCAGTAAACGGTTTTTATTTGTATTGTAAACATCCAATCAGTATTGCAACATTCATATTTTACTTAATGTTCATGTTAAGCATTAATAATCTAAGTATAATTTGTCCTCGTTTAAAATAAAGCTGTCATTACAATAAAACAGGATTATGATGTTGGTACTCTAGCTTTTTTTACTAATCAAGATGAGATTCATGAAAAAATCATTAAAAACAATTCTGATGTTACTATAGTGCCTTTCTTTACCTTGTTGAGTGCTTTTTTTAAAATCCTATCACTGAAATATAATTACTTCAATTAATATTAATAACAAGGAATTATTCACTATTTTGCTGAACGTTTTTCGTACTATTGAACAATACATTTAGTTGAGTTCTAGTCACGCATAGATCTTAATGATCAGTTTATTGCTCTCCATTTTACGTTTACATAGTCATTCAAAACTAACAATAGTTAGGATCAAACGACGACTGACAAACTTTTTGGAAAAAAGTATCCATGACCTATTAAAATTGCGTCCATAATTCATAAAGAACACTGGACCTCATCAAGCACACTTCCGGGAACAAAATGAAGCCGTTTTGTGTAACTCATCAATAGATCTTTTAGTAGTATTAATCGATTATGTTTGAATAATGAAGAGTTCGATTAACATAATAAAATTTTGGTTTATTTTAACAACAAATTAACTTTTAATCAATACCTCTTCAGACTCTTAAATTGTTTTTTTTTTCTCGATATGAATGTTAAACAAACAAAAGAAACCACAAAGCGTGACAAAAAAAGAAAATTAGCAATTAAAAACAAAGAAAAAGAATAATGCCATCCGTGGTCTAGTATTCGTCAAAATCATTAATGTTTGGGAATGTTATTGGAAATGCCAATTATATATATATGTGCAATATTGCTTCCGAGAAATATTCTATAAAATATAGTTAGTGCCTGCCATGTTAATACATGTTATATCAATTTTGACAAAGATATATATATTTTTTTCTATTTCAATTTACTTTATTCTATGCAACGGTAAGCTTGCTTCTCATTTTTATTTCAATGCCTTTTCACTACTAAGAAGATTTGTTATTGATTAAGATTTTCTATTGTGTATAGATTAGAATAATATTAACAAAAGATATTTATATTATTCTGACCTTTGTTGTGAAAGTAGAGACGTAATCTAACAAAGATTATATGAGATAATGTTAATTAAAAAGCAGTGTATAAATCCATTGAAAATATTTGAATTGACTGCATTTTTATTATGTTTATTACTAAAGTAAAGAGAGGAATAACATTCATTCTTCGATTGTCTTGAAAGTAATCTATTTCCTATGTTGATTTTGCCTTTGAGACCTATGGAAATTAATTTTCAATTAATTTTCACTCTGTTTTCTCTCTTTCTTTTTTTTAATATAGTTTATTAGCTCTTTTATATCAACGATTCATTAAAAGAAAACTTTTTCTTTTATTCCGTTTGTATATAAGAAAGATCTATCGTCTCTTTTTTTTCTCTTGTTGTCAGTCTCTCGATTTCTCTTTCTCCGTTAGGTTTATATACTCAAAATATGAGCATCATCTCATTTGACAAGCCTTTATTTTCGCAGAAGTTATATCAATACCAATTATTCTAGTGTTTTGCAATGAGATAAGCACAACGACAAAGAAAAAGGCCATAGATCGTACCTTCGTTTTATTAATTAAAATCAGGATATCATCTAATATATTCTATCAAAAAGTATTCTTTGTTTATTTTAGACAACTAAGAACTTGACTTAAATTATTATTATTGAATTTTTTCAAAAATGTTTAAACATCTCATCGTTTTACTTTCACTTATTCAACTAATACATTGTTTATCCGAACGAAGCAACAGTAAGTTTTGATTCTCGTATCAAATAAAAACAAAGTTTATCATGTCGACTATAAATATATATATATATATAGTTAATCAATGGATTTTGTTTGCATAATGTTAATTTCGATACTGAAAATTATTCTTTTTTTTTGTATCGTTTAATTTTAGTTTGGTGGAGTCGACGTGATGAAACTTCTCAACCGGATTGTAAAATTGAATATGAAAATGAAAACCCATCACTTGAAGAAAAAGTTTGCGGTAAATTATTTTTCTTCAAATATTAATTATTTGCATTAATGGAATATAAATTTTCTTTTAAACTTTGTTTAGGTTATTGTTATGCTAAATGTCAACAACAATTTGCTGCTTGTCTTCTAGCACAAATGAATCAAGTGATATCTGGTCCACTTGACTATTGTCAAAATTTGTCAAAAAAATGTGAAACAACCTGTTTAAATGACAAACGAACACGTCGAATTGCTGCAGAAAATTGGGGAAAAGTCGTCGAAATCTTACGACAATTCTTTTCCTACACACCAATAGATAATGAGAAAAAACATTAGAAAACAACGATCATTTTTGAGAATGTTTTGATTCGGTAATTTCTCTTTTCTTGTTCCGTCTATAATTTTTCTTTGTCCCATACGTAAATATGCATATAAACAAAACAGCAAAAGTTACTTATTATTTAATTGAATAAATATTACGTCACAAAAATACAATAACCGAAAAAAAAACAAGATTAAAATAACAATTAAAATAAATTACTTTAATATTAAATACGTAGCAATTAAAAAAAGAGACAATAAAAAAAAGGCGTTTATAATAAGAATAAAAAAAGAAATGAATATATTTTTTTTTTGTTTTTCACGCTTTTTAATTATGCATCGTGGTTTGTGATCATGATGTTAGCACATTTGGCTTAACTAAAACTCGACCATAACGTTTTTCAATAGCAATTTGCATAGCACGTGATAAATCAGATAAATCATAAGTTGGTCCAATTACTTCTTCATAAGGATACTTTTTTATTGTTTTCTCAAGAAATTGAACAGCATGATCAAGATGACGTGGAGCATAATTATGAATACCTAATTAGAAAAAAAAAATTATTTTTGTACTATTTAAATTAATTAGTTTTGTACCTTTGATAGTCAAACATTTACGAATAATTTGTTCTCCCGTAATATTCAATTGTGAATGTGGATGAACCATACCAACAAAAAGATATAGTCCACCAGGTTTCAATAATCTTAAACCATCATTGACCACATTTGGTACACCACATACCTATAAAAATTATCAAGAGTAAAATTTACATAAAAAGAAAAACGAATCGCAATATTTCAAAAAGTATTCTTAAATATATATATATATATATGCAAAAACCTACTTCAACAACAACATCAATCTTGTTTGTTTCTTCTTCAAGTATTTCGTCTAGAAAAATATATGAACGAAATGATTTTATTTGTAAGTTTTACAAGCTGTAGACGATTAAAACAGGTAGACATGCAAAGAACTTAAACAAGACGTGCTAAAATGAGGTTTATCCTCCGTTTAAATATGATCAATTACGATACATCTTTATTATCTATGCAGAAAGAAGTAAAATATGTGCAAAGACAAAGAAATTCCAAGCAATTATTTTAAAACAAATAGTTTTCGAAAAATATTTGCATCGTACTTTGCCTGCCTATATAAAAGATACAAAAAAAGAAAGCAAAAAAGAATATTATAAAGAATACATGTGTTCAATTTTGTGTTTGAAGTGTATCAAAAGCATATCGATGAATGAAAAATAAAAAATACAAATATTTACCATTATAAAGTGGAATAGCACCAAATTGTTCTATGAATGTTGAACGTTGTAAACGAGTTCCAGAACAATAAACTCTTTCAAAACCATGTTCACGAAGAGCTGCACATGTATATAAACCAAGCATTCCATCACCCTTTTAAAAAAAGAAAAGCAAAATAGAATTATTAATATGAAAAATCGTTTTTGTTTCTAATAACATATTATTTAAATGAAAGTATTTTATTTTTAATTACTGTTTTTTACATAGTCTTTAGTTCTATGAAACTAATTGTTGAAATCTTTGTGTATTTCAACAGATTAGATAAGAATAAAGTAATACTTAAGAAGGAACTATCCAAAGTCATATCCATCATATGAACTCATCTTATGTCATCAGGAAGATCTCGATAAGATTAGAAAAAAATTACATAGGGTCATCCTTATATGAGCCCTTGGAGTCGGGTGAGGATTGTTGTACTGAATTTTTAACTCAGTTATAGAAACATACCGAAGAATCGAAAAAGAAAATTTAGATGTGAAATTTTGCCCGTAGATAGGTCAAATGATCTGTAGAGTACTGTAAAAATTTCAGCCGAAGAAAATGACCTTTTGTCAATACATCGAATTTCGAAAAAATCATCGTTTGTCACAATCAAGTTTAATTGAAAATTAAATATCTCAAAAAAGAAAAATATTCTTTTCGACTGAAACTTTAAAAATATTCAATGAATTACTTGATCTATGTATGGGCGAAATTTCGTTTTTTTTTTATTATTCTGTATATATCTAAAGCTGAGTGGAAAATTCAGTAAAACGAACATAACTCGGTATTGAAGGCTTATGTTGGGACGAATCCTTTTACGCATTTTCTATTCTTATCGAGACCTCCTTATGGGCTCAATATGAGCTCCTACTGTAGGTATCAGTTTGAGTAGTTCCTTCCGTTAGTCAATAGAAATGTAGTATCAACTTATCGATTGTTGAATGATACACATTTGATCTCCCGTCGATTAAGTATTGATTCAAAGCATCGAAATGTTTAAATAATGACTAGTAGAATTCTTAGATCAAATGTCATATCGATATTTCTCATTTAGCATTTTTTAACAGATACATATAGACTTTTTCTGTGAGTAAAAATAAAGTTATTTTATTTTGGTTCAAATAGAATAACTAAATAACATATGTTAATTAATCATTTATAATTAATATTCGATTATTATTTAGTAGAGAAGTAGAAAAACAATATTGTTCTCAAGAAGTTAATGGCCTATATATATTGATATCAAATTAAATCTCATTACAATTTTTTCAAGTATTATAAGGCAATGATACTTTGTCACAAGCACAGTAGAATACTCTACGCTCTTTAAAAATGATTGATACTCAATACAGAGATTAAAATAACTGCGTTTTAAAATCTATTAGAAATCAGCATTAGTTTTTAAACTTATCTTATCGAACGAGCAGAAAGATGAATTTTTCTTGAAAATAAGTCCACAAGACGAAGGACTATCCGACAAGGTCATTGATCATGGTGCTAGTATGTGTTGTAATGTGTTGCAAATAAAATTATGGTTAAGAAGACCTTTCTTTTTTCTTTTGATTACTCTACATGGTTTTGCTCTATTTATTAAGTATTCTCATTTTTCTTTTGTAAAAATTGCAATAACTTGAAATCTCCCTCGCGAATTTGCAATAAGTTTTTATTTCATATGAAATTCGTCGCTTATTAGATTTATATAAAGAACTTTATTCTTTTGGGAAATCATTTTATTTTCATTGTTGAATAATGTAAAGACATATTTTAATTCTATCGTTTCATAAAATTAAATTTCTAATTCAAAAAAATTGTTACCAATTCCGTATATAATTGTTTAGTAGATCGTGATTTATAATCTAATCAAGTATCATTCGAATTATTTTGTTGGTTCGTTCATATACGAACTGAAGTCTCTTTACTTTGATCGATTATCTTGAATGAAATTTGACAACTAAAAATACACACTTCATACCAATGTCAGTACGCTTAAGTTAGAGAAAATATACTACTGTCAACTATTTGCTAAGAGAATGTAATTAAATTTTTCATCAATCAGAATTTATTGATGATTGCTAAAAGAAACGAGATTCATTTCCTTCTGAGTATATGTATCTATTTTTGAGTACATATATCCCCCTGGCCAAAAATAGTTTTACACAGTATTTTTAATAAATCATTACTATAAATAAAGATTTTGAGAAAAATAACCATATATCTGGCTAGCCCTTGGAGTTCTCTACAACCCTATATATATTCGATTTAAATTGCGCTTTGTTTGCTAAAGATAAATTGAAGTATAATGAAGGCACCCTCATCGTCAGATTCCCC